AAGGATGTCCCAATCTGTTGTGCCAAAGATTGGAAGTGGAATAATTTCTACTGCGAGTATTAATACTTGGTGTTGTCATCAGTAGGCACAATTGAACTATTATTACTGATGTTATTAATATGAGACCAAGAAAAACAGTATCTTGTTTACGTAAACAATACAAGCCATCTTTCAGATCAGCATGCCCAATCATCTTCAATGTAAGAACATCCTGAATCTAGCAATGGTTAGAAGAAAAAATCAAATTACAATTGGAATCAATAATCAGTTTTTGAGCAGAAATTATATTAAATTCAAAATTGGGAATATGAAGAACATTATAGAGTGTAAGGCTATTTGAAATACAAACCGGTGCCAGCATATTCAGCAGTGACATGATTACCATTAGGTAATTTCACATGCACAGTGCTGATTTTAGTAAAAGTTAAAAAATGATTTTTATTGTAAGCTACATGATCAGTAGCCCGGTGTCTATAATCCAAGATGAACGAGAGAATACCTTTGGAGTCTTGTTGATCACCATTATTATTTTTAAACTGATTGACCCTATGAGTAGTGTCTTGATTCTTTTCTTGCAGAAGTTTTAATAGTTGTTGAACTTGTTCACACTGTCGGTGACTATTCTGAACAATGTGCACTTGATTTTTTGATTCTTCTTCTTTCAAAACGTTGTCGAGTCATAACGGTGTTGACAACAGAATCATTTCTGTTATTTTTAAACCATGGAGGGAATCCGTGTTTGGCATAACATTCATCAACGAGTATGGTGCAATTTATTGCAAAAAGTACACTTGTTTACCATAGTTGGAATTCCTCCCACGTCCACGTCCTTGGTTCTTCCAAGATCCACGTCCTTGAGTTTTCCAATTTCCTTGATTGTTAAAATTCACAATAGGTCCTTGATTAGCAGTTGTCAAAAGAGTTTTGGCATCAACGTGACTCACTCCTGCCAATTGTCGTTCTTGTTGCGGAATTAACGAAAAAACACGATTGATTCCTGGGAGAGGCTCCATTAAAAGAATTTGAGATTTTGCGGTGGTGAAGACGTCATTTAATCCCTTCGAGAAAACATATTACATGTTCGGATTCACGATAACGAGCAATGATTTTGAAGGCTTCACAAGAACATTGCGGATTGCAGGTACAACTAGGAATGGGACGCAAGGATTCCAACTCTTCCCAAAGAATTTTGAAATCTGTATGGAATTCAGAAACGCTTCTTTCTCCTTGCTTAATGGAGTGCAATTCCTGTAGCAGATCAGATGTCCTAAAATGGTCTCCTTTTGAGAATCGTTCCTTGAGATCTTCCCAAAGATCTCTTGCATTATCAATATATACAGTACTTTGAGCAATTTGATCACTTAAAGTTCAAGTTATCCAAGAGAGTACCATGACATTGCATCTCTCCCATGAGTCATGAAGAGGATCGTCTTCTTGGGGAATCTTGATGGCTCCAGTGATGAATTTTAATTTGTTTTTTGAAAGAGGAGCTCTGCGCATACTCCTACTCCAAGAATGGTAATTCGTACCATTCAATTGCTTTGAAACAAGAATCATTCTAGGATTCTCACCTAGGTGCAAATAATACGGGCTTGAAAGATTCAAAGATTCGTCAATCACAGTTTACGTTTCTGTATTGCTATTAGCAGTTGAAGAATTGACAGAAGCCATCATGAAACAGAGAAAGATAGAAAAGAGAAATAGAAAGGATGCAGCGGAGGCAGAGCGGGTGTTAACCCGCTCTGATACCATAACGTAAAAACATGGATCCCATTGAGAATTTGGGAGAAAATAGCAGAGAAGAAAAAACTGATCTAATTCATATACTGATCGAATACAAAAGGAAAATCTAATCTATTTGAGGAAGAAAAGAAGGTTAAATATAAAAAGGAAAAAAAGTCAAATATGCAGTTAGTCAAACCTGCATAAAACAATACTAACAAATGGAAAAGGTACACGTGTAACTAATAGTTATGGATTTCGGATCTTATAAATAATTTGAACTCATTGAAAATTTGATAAGCTTAAGGACTTATTTGAGATCAAATTGCAGGGAATAAAATAAAGGAAAAGGGAGACTAAGTGGGGGAACACAATTCTTGGGTGGGAACTTCGTAGTTCAGACAAGGAAACATTATGCTAACAAAGATAGGTACAATTTTTAACGTAGCCTATATGAGTTTGCAAATAGAGGTCTAGAATTTATGTTTTCAAATTAAGGTAAAATCTCGGGAAAGAAAAATATAGCTTATGGTTGCATGGATTTGAAGTTGAAGATATTCAAGCATATGTGTGTCTAGAAGATAATAGTATGGTCATTTTGTTTGTTATCATTACCTATTTCATTTTTTTTTCTTCAAAGTAGTAGTTTATTCCCATCCTAAAAGATCATTAGTAAGTATATACTGAACTCAACATCAAATCTGCAAGTAGAATGGCAAGTTTTTGCATCTATCAATAATATTATTAATATAATTTATAAATATTTAATATATTTTTAATTAATTATTAATAATTAATATAGTTTTGTAAAAAGAAAATAAAAATATCTTAATATAAATTATTACTTAAATTGTATATTTTTACCTAATTACTTTTTTCAGGAATGATAAATTAAAGAAATTATAAAAATTTAAAAAGTGTAAATTTACTTAGCGCATCTCCATCTCGCTCAATATAATCAACTTCGAGCAAATTGTTCCGCGTTTTTTCATCCGTTGAGTGAAATCGGTCCCAAGACAAGGGCTCTTTATATGAAAATCAGCAATATATTCAGCGCTTTGTCATTTGCTGAGCAGAATTTTTACGTATAGTTCAATTTTGCATAATGTTGTATTGAGTTCTATTACGTAATTACGAGCCTTGAATATTTTATATGTTTTTGTTGTTGTATAAATAAAACTTTGAAGGTATAGATGTTGACAAGTTTTGGGTCATGTATATATATGATACATAATTTAAATGTGTTAGGGTCATTATTTATTAAGCCAACTAATAAAGTGATCTGACTAAATTAAAATTTTGGCTAAAGACATATGTCATGAAAATAAAATTGTGTAGAGACCATAGAGTAATTTCTAATTTGATGAAGGGTCAAATTAGAAATATTAAAACTTAAGTAATTAACTTAATTCTGGTTATTTAAAGGGTCATGGTCCCCTTCTAAGAGCACACACAGAACGTAAGTCTCAGTTCTCGTTCCTTTCTTTCTATCCTCATTAAGATAAAAAATCCAGAGGGAAAATAAAGGTGTTCTTCAGGTGGAAGACCATAAGATTAATAGTGCTCTCTAAAAGGGACATCATCATTATGGCTAATTCAGGTACGTTTTCGCATTCAGTCTACAACATGTTTATGAGAATGTGATAATGTTTATGTTTGATCGTTATAATCAAAATCAGGATCAGAATTATTAGTTTTCTAATCGTAGAATCATAAGTTAAGTTTGAATCACAATTCATTCATATATTCTCTAAATTCAACTCTTGAGTTTTTTAGTTTTCAGTAGTGATACTTAACTTTGAAGTTTTTTCATAGAATTTCTTGTACAAAATAATGCAATGAAGTTAATCAATTCAATTTCTCCTTGATTAGATTTATTTTTTTCTCTCTTTACTTCTTTGTTTTTACTTTTTGTTTCATCTTCTTCTACATTTTCATTCAATCCTTTGCTGTTTATGGCTTTTCCATTTGATAATCATGTTCTAATTCGTTTTTGTTGTTGATTCACCAATTAAAACTTATTTTCTATGGTTTAGATTTGATTTTTAATGATTCTAACTGATTATAGTCCATTGCAAATAATGTGAATGAGATTATTTGATTGAATGTCTCTTTTATGTTATGATTCAACTTTTAAATTTAAATTATTGTTTGATTTAATAATTGAATTGTGAATATGAATTTCAATTGGATTGGAATTGATTGGAATTGTTATTATGATTACAAGATAATTCTATAGAAATCAATGATATTCATAAGAGAATTAACATAATTTGCTATAAATTTGAGAAAAAATACATCTTTATCTAATTAGCTACTTGTATTTAGTGTTTGTTATAAGAGTATTAGTAAAAAATTAACTATAAAATAATCATAGAGAGTGTATTGTAAATTCCTTGATTTAAATATAAAAAAAAACTTGAAAGCTAAAAATCAAAATTTCATTATTTTATAATACCCAGGTATATAATTTCATTTAATTTAATGCTCTTCTTTTATATATATATATATATATATATATATATATTATGTATTATGCAATGGATATTAATAATTAAATTTAATCTTCTTAAATATACTTACTGAATAATTAAATTCCTAACATTAATGTTAGATAAAATTTCAATTTTATAATGATCATAAGTGCATTTAATAAAGAATTACTTTTCTGAAATCTATATAGAGAGAGGAAGAGAAAAAGAGAGAGGGAAAACATGGCAATGAGAGTGAAAAATTCAATTATAAAATTAAAATATAACTTAAAAAATATTTAGTGATAATATGAAATTATATAATTGAAAGATATAACAGATTAAATATCTTTTAATCATTTCAAATTGAGAAAAAAATCTTTATAAATAAGATTTATACTTTTATATTTGATAGATATTATTTGTATGTATATTTTAATCGTGAAATAACAATTTATAATTGTCCATGTGAAAAATTAAAGAAAATTTTGATGAAAATTTTGTAACTGGTTTTTAAATAGTATATTCAACTTTTTCTTATTTTATCGAATTGGCCCTAACTTTGAAAAAAAAAATATAGATGAAAAATTTTTTTTGAGTGAAATAGTTTATTATTAATATCAACCTCAACTAAAATAAGGTCTTCAAAATATTCACACCAAACTTCATATACAGATAACAGAACAAGCAAGCACACACACCCATGATTGACAGGGATTCAACCTAAGTGAAGATTCTTTATCAGTCTACTCAATACATGCAATTGAAATACATTATAATGATGTAGCAAGTTATATACATGAAAGTCTATTTCCCCAAAAGGGATTTGAGCCACCAAATGCCTTTGGAATCTTTGGGGCCTTCTTCCTCTGGTGGAGGATCGCTCTGTGGAGGATCGCTCTGTGGAGTCTTGTGAAGTTTGCTCACATCATATCCTTGATCCACAGCTATCTGAACAAGCAAATTGTAGATCTCTTCATCCAAATGGGGATTCCTGCTTAAAATCTAGAAAACATAATTGACCGAAGTTATGTCAGGAAAAACAAATCATACGTTAAATAAGATACACAAAAGTTGTTAAGAAGATGAAATCTCCAAGGTACTCAAACTCGCACAACATATATATGTCTCATGATGTTTAATTTCTCATCAAGTTTCAATATAGAATTTACAGCAACTAAATTTTGAAAACTTGCAGAGAAGTGTGTACTAATATTAAGCCCCTTCAAAAAGTTTTGAGCATTGCCACCACATATAAGTTTCAGACACACCAAAACCATTTACAGTAACCTTTGTTAAATCTAGCCAATAATAAAACTTACCATTTTAATCATTACTAATGATTTTTTTCTAATATGGATTGTGCAAAATTTAAACTTTTCGGCAAGCAAATTAAAACTTGGCAACAAAAGGCTTAATAGGCTTACCCAGAGGTATTTCCTGCTTTGTTGGCCAATTAAAGCGTACTGATAATCATCATCAATGAACAAAACCCAGTAGTCTCCAACAACAGGGATGATGGGTAGGAAGGGAGGAACGTAAAACTTGACCTTGAACTTGGCTTCATCACTGTTGGGGTTAGCCTTATAAGCAACACCCTCTATGGAGACTCTCTTCCCACCACTCAACGTCTCGTTGAGCACATGCACAGTAGTCCCATCACTGTTAAGGGAATATGTGGCTCTGGTGTTCACACCGTTCCTGGGCTGAAAAAACGATGGGAACGAAGCAATCTCATACCATCGACCCATGTACCTTTCCAAGTCCAAATTCTTCACAACTTTCATCTCTTTCTTCGCCATTGGTGTCTTGAACAGGGAAATTATGCAGTACAGAAAAGAAAGATGCAACGATTTACTGGGTGCTTTGAAGTTGTTGGTTTTGATAAGGCTTCATTGGATATATATGTAGAGAAGATAGCAAACTTGTTTCACAATTCTAGAATATAAAATTTGTGAATGGATAATTTTTTTTTATTGAGTATTTTCAGAAATTTTTTTTTCTTTTTGTAAATTCAAATTAAGTTATATAAATGTTAAACATGATGAGTGGAAAATTTTACAGATTAACCAAGTTTATTTTCGCAGTCAGGCCTGATCATAATAACTTTGATTAATGATTAAAGTTGTATCAAAATTTTAATAATTGTGTTTATGAACATTTATTTTATTTTTATTTTTTATTTTGAAAAGTAAGTTGTTTATTTTTATTAAAGTTTATGACTTTTATGTTCCAATTTAAACTATGTTTAGTGTCGTTCGTTAACTTAGCAGCTTAGTCAAAACATTATATCATTAAAAGGGGTATGATGCATATTATTTTGGTTAAAATGATGATATCTATCACTTTTACATTATTTAAATTGTGTGTGAATAATTTTGATAAGAGATTTGCTAACTCGATATTGGTTTCAAATTTAATTCTCTTTTCCTTTTATAGTGTGGAGTTGAAATCTTGCAAGTTCAATTTCATAAATTTTCTATTGGTTTTAAAAAGCATGCATGTTGTGAGTATAATTTTTATTTGAAATATTTATATTCATTTTATAGTTAATTTCCATTTAATGAGACTATTTTGATTTAATTAAATTATACTTTAACATTATATAAATTGGTTTTTGAAAATAGATTATTATATATAAACAGAAAATAAAAAGGTGAAAAGGTTAAAGCTTTTTCAAATTTAAAAGAAAGAATTTGATGAAATTTAAATTTAAGAATATAATTTGGCAAATAATTGTTTATCAAAAAGTATAACTTTTCTTCCTCTGATTTTTTTCGAGTAACAGGAGAATGGACAAGAAAGGTGTGGCGGTGTTTAGGCCACGTACACCATATAAGATGGAACTTTCTAGTATTCTTTTTTTTTTTTTAATTATTTGTTCTTTATTATTATTAAACCCTAAAAATCTACCTTTTTTTATTTCAAGTAAAGAAAAAAAAAGGTTCAAAGTGTGTTTCTCTATGCTTATTTATTCATTATAAAGAGAGCCAAAAAATAATACAAATATATTTTCATATTTATTTTTAGAAAAAAAAATTATCAAGCTTTTTATTAAATTAATGTTTATTCTTATAATAAAAGATTAGACTGTTACTTTACGTTGAAGTAGAAGTTACCCAGGAACTCAATCACTAATTAGTTTTATCACAGTTTCCTCAACTCTTACGAGGTTATTTTTATTTTCAAATTAAATAAATAAAATTTATAAATAATACCTATTAATTTGACTGACTTTTAACTTATTAATTTGCTATGAAAATTGAAATTCATACATGATTGTTTTCTTCTCTAACATGAAAAAAAGAAAAAAAAAATTGTTTGTAGTTGTGAAGTTACTTTCTTGGTATTGTCCTTCCAGAAAAAGGCATTCTTAATTTTCTCAAATCATATAATTTTTATGTAGCATTTGGATTGTTTGGAAAATGCCAAAATGAACCTATTCTAGTAGCTTGAAGGTGAGGAGATGAAGCTTAAGGGGCAAGAAATAGTTTATGGACCAATTATGTCCATTTCAAGTGTATGATTGGAGGTAAAGACACTCCTAAATAATATGAAGATTTTTTTTTTTTCAAAATTTAGCAATATTTTGCCGACACTTATGCACTTACATTGGTATTTGTAATTGTTTTTTTATCATCATATCGTACAAACAAAAAATTCTTCAAAATTCTACTTAATGTACCTTAGACATTGAAGAATTTAAATTTAAGACTGCGTAATTAATGTATTTCTTTTACATTAAAAGATTATAACTTTTAAAGCATTTATTTTTTTTTATAATAAAGAAACACTGATATACATACACTCCTTTTCTTCCTTATAACTAATATTCAACTCAATTTAACATAATAATAATAATAATAATAATAATAATAATAATAATAATAATAAATATTAAAATTAGAAGTTTATATTATTATTATAATATTAAAAGAAGTTGTTATATAGAAGTATGAGTTAAATGACGTGTTTAATATAATTTTCCTAAAAAGAATTTAAAAACGGATATTTCTCATGAATACCTAATAGTCAACCGTGTCATCCTTTGTGATACTATATTTATTTTAGCAATTGATCAAAATATTATTATTTATAATTCTTTTAATATCAACTTAAAAAATACTAAATATGATAAAAAAATACTATTTATAAGAATTAATAAAATAAAAATACATTAATAAAAGTATATGATAAAGTTAAAAATAATAAGTATAAAAATGAAAATCTTTATAAATATTTTTTCTTAGTGAATTACATGTTTTCTTGAATAAATTGAAAAACATAGAATTTTTATTCATCTTATTTTTTTACACATATACTATGATCTTATAGTATTTTACTTTAACAAATCGGGACTAAATATATGAAGTTCGATTATACAATCTTTTGTACCGCTATACAAACCTATAATTTAGCTAATCAAATATCTTTATCCCAACATTCCCCCTCAAGTTGGTAAATGGATGTCATACATTCCCAACTTGTCCAATAATCTCCTAAAAATCTGACTTGTCACAACTTTGGTAAGAATGTCTGCCAACTGATCTTCAGATCGAATATTTGGCAATTCTAAAATATTTTTATCAAGTTTTTCCTTGATGAAAAAGTTATCAACTTCCACATGCTTCATCCGATGATGTTGGACAGGGTTGTGAGCAATGTCACGCACAACTTTATTATCACAATATAATTGAATGAGACGTGTATGTGCATATCCTAAATTCTGGAGAAGCAGTCTGAGCCACAAACCTTCACAAAGTCCAAGAACCATTCCTATAAGTTCAGCTTCTGCACTGGATCTAGCTACAACTTTTTGCTTCTTGCTTTTCCAAGTGACAAGATTACCTCCTACAAATATAAAGTATCCAGAGGTTGATCTTCTATCATCAAGAGCATCTGCCCAATCTGCATCAGTATAAACCATCACATCCTTGTAGTTGGAGTTCTTCTTGAACATAACTCATTTTCCAGGAGCAGCTTTTATATACCTTAAAATTCGTATAACAACATCCATGTGTTTTTCACCTGGATTGTGCATGAACTGGCTAACCACACTAAGAGCATAAGTTAAATCTGGCCTAGTGTGTGAGAGATACATCAATCTCCCTACAAGTCTCTGATATCTTCCCTTGTTAGTTGGAGTTTGATCTTCTTCAATGCACAACTTCAATCCCTCTTCAATTGGAGAATTTGCTGGTTTGCATGTTGTCATTCCAATTTCTTTTAGTAAATCCAATGCATACTTTCGTTGTGAGAGAAAAATACTTGACTTTAATCTTGAGACCTCAATTCCAAGAAAATATTTCAAAGGACCAAGATCTTTCATCTCGAATTCCTTTGCCAAGTACTCTTTCAATGCCTTGCGTTCTTCTAGATCGTTTCCCGTAACTATCATGTCATCAACATAGATAATAAGAATTATAATCTTTTCTTCCTTTTTCTTTAGAAACAAGGTATGATCTTGGTTGCTCTGTTGGTATCCAAAAGCAAGCATTGACTTGGTGAATCTACCAAACTATGCTTGTGGCGATTGTTTTAGTCCATACAATGACTTCTTCAACTTGCATACCTTCTTGCTATGTGTATTCGGGATCCCACATCCTTCTGGTAGCTCCATATAAACTTCTTCAGATAATTCCCCATGTAAGAAGGCATTTTTTACGTTAAATTGTTGTAAGGATCAATCAAGGTTTACAACTAGAGATAACAATACTCGAACTGTACTAATTTTGGCTACAGGAGCAAACGTTTCAGTGTAATTTATTCCATATGCTTGTGTGTACCCATTTGCCACTAATCTAGCTTTGATTCTCTCAATTGTGCCATCTGCATTAAATTTCACAGTATACACCCATCGACATCCTACTGGTTTCTTTCCAACTAGACAATCTACTAATTCCCATGTTTTATTTCTTTGCAAGGATCTCATCTCCTCATTCATAGCATCCTTCCACCTGGAGTCAGCTAAAACTTCCTGCACACTGTTAGGAATAGATACAGTAGATAATTGACTTATAAATGCGATATTTGAGTTAGACAAATTCTAGTTACAAACATAATTACTCATAGGGTATCTTGTCTTACTGGTGAGGTCAGGATCATAAGTAGGCTTAGGGATACCTCTAGTGACACGATCTGGTAGAATTCTTTTTTCTGTATTAGGTTCTTGAGGGGACGATTGGTGTGGTATATCATTAGCATCAACAGGCAAATTTTTGATCTTAACATGCTCAAAATCTTCCTCATTATGTGGTTGTTGATCATAACATTGTTGCATACTTTCATCATCTCTTGATACAACTTTGTAACTTTCTTTCTCCAATCTGATCTCAATATCAATTTCATGAGAAACAAAATTTTGAACTTCATCATAATTCTCCCCCTGAATTTCAGACTCGGGGGAAAAATATATCAAGGTTTCATCAAAAACTACATCTATAGTAGTAAACATTTGTTTAGTTTATGGATTGTAGCACCGATATCCTTTCTGGTGATCCGCATAGTCAAGGAACACACACCTTTCAGCTCTAGGAGACAACTTACTTCTCTGATGCTTGTGTAAGTGAACATAAGCAACACAATCAAAAACTCTATGTGTTAGTTCAACAATTTTAGGACTTACTACTGCATCTGTAAGTGATTGAAGAAGTGTTTTATACTCAAGAGACCTAGATGGTGTTCGGTTGATAGTGTATACTGCATATGTGAGAGCTTCTCCCCAATATATTGCTGGCATGTGAACTCCAATTAGTGTAGCTCAGACCACCTCCAATAGATGACGGTTCTTTCGTTTTGTCACCTCATTTTGTTGTCGTGTATTTGGGCAAGATCTTTGATGGGAATTGTTCATCAAAGATCTTATCCAAATACTCCACAATAGAATGAGTTGGCAGAACGAAAGAACCGTCATCTATTGGAGGTGGTCAGAGCTGCACTAATTGGAGCTCACATGCCATAACCAGATATCATCGCCTTTTCTTACTTCTTGAGACTCTTTTGTTGCTAGCATTTTACCAAGTCTCTTCGAATCTTTTTCTATCAGGTCCAGGTAATACAACCTTCCTCGCCTAATACCACAACCAATCGTATTCCTTGTTTGAATATCCTTAAAAACACAAGAGTCAGACCAAAAAATTACAACACATAAAAGAGCTTTGGTTATTTGCGAGACTGACAATAGGTTATATTTAAGAGAAGGAACAACAATGACAATATCAAGATTCAAATTGTTTGAAATAGAGACAGTTTCTTCTCTAATAATAGTGGATTTACTACCATTGGCTGTGGATATACTTTTTGTGTGGGGAAGGTTTAAGATTTTTAATTTGTCTAACATCAAAAGTCACATGATCAGAACATGCAGAGTCAATTATCCATGTATTATTCAGAACGGTAGATGTGCTTATTAAAGCCTTACCATTAGAATCATCACTATTTGCGACTATAGCAAGCATCATGCCTTTGTCGTCCTCTTTGTCAATGGCAGTTATAGCAGCAGTAGTTGGATTTCTTTTTTAATTCTTCTTCGATGCTCGAATGTGATCCCACCACTCGGGGTATCCTATGATTTCATAGCATCGTTCCTTGGTGTGTCCATCTTTATTACACTGAGTACACTTGTAGTTACCTTTTTCAAAATCTTTTGATTGCTTCGATTTGTTGTGGTGATTTGCTGGTTGTTTCTTTGTCATCATAGTTGTGGAATCAGAAATCATATGTTCTATTTTCAACGTTGTTCGCCGGACTATCTCTCTCCGGATCAATGCATAGCATTCTTCTAAATCAGGTGTGACTTCTTTGCGCAAGATTTCTCCATGAACTTGCTCAAAATCATCATCTAGTCCAGGAAGGAATATATGCACCCTTAATCTTTCAATGGACTTCTGATATGACTTCACATTATCAGGGTCCTTCATGACTACTTTGTCACGATGGTCCAATTCCCTAAAAATCTCAACCAACTCCCCATAATATTCAGTTAAGGTTCTATTAGTTTGTTTTGCAGTGAATGCCCTTTGATTCAGGGCAAACACCTGTAGCTCATCACTTCCATCATAAAATGTCTTTGATAAAACATTTCAAATATCGAGGGCAGTGGGTAAGCGAATATACCTTTTCATAATTTTTGGCTTCATGGACATCAATAGCCATCTTTTCATTTTTTGGTTTTCAGCATACCATTTTTCATATCCCTCATCGTTCTCTGTTGGAGGCTTCACCTTCCCACGGATATAGGAAAATTTTTCCCTCTCTGCAATGTGCATCTCCATTAGTTGTGATCATACGTCATAATTGGATTCATTTAGGATGATGTCTGCGTTGAAGACACCTTCAGATTGAACAACCATTGTAATTAGTTTTTCTGTCATCTCTCCAGTTAAGATCTCCAAGGATTTTGAAAGAAAAAGAAAAAAGTTATAAGCTCTGGTACCAAATTGAAAAACATAGAATTTTTATTCATCTTATTTTTGTACACATATATTATGATCTTATAGTATTTTACTATAACAAATCGGGACTAAATATAGGAAGTTCGATTATACAATATTTTGTACTCGCTATACAAACCTATAATTTAGCTAATCAAATATCTTTATCCCAACAGAATATTATTATAATTATAATATTTATAGTGTTAGACATGTTAATACATTTTTATAACATATAGTAAACCAATGAAAAAACAAAATATTAATTAAAAATAATTATATAAATAATTATATTTTTTATTTCAAAATTATCTTAAAAAAAGCAATATTTTATTTTATTTTTTACCTATTTTATTTTTTTATTATATTTCATTCATTTAACAATGATGTATTAAAAAAATTATAATTTATCGATCATTATTTCGTGAAACAATATAAATTGGTTAGTAGTGATTGTAAAAATCTTAATAATAATAATAATAATAATAATGTTATATATTATATTATGTAAGAGAAAATAATATTTGAATGACATGAAAGTTAAAAAAACCTATATATTATGTAAATCATGTAGTAAAGTAAAATCAAACTAATAGGATAGCATTATTAACAATAATCTAAAAGGAATGAACATTTTTACAATTATGAAGAATTTATAATCGAACAAGTCTCTTTAATTCAAAAAATATATTATAAATTTTTCAATTGCTTTTCTTGAATAATTGAAAATTGATATGAGGAGTTGATGAAGAACCATCGTCTACATAATACATTACATGAAATTTTAATCTTTCTTGTTTCAACATGAGCACGATAATAAAACGAGACAAAGATAAATGTTTTCTCTACTAAATAAATTTCACAAATAGAGTCTTTCACCTTAGCCTTATTTTCTTTTAGTTTAAAAGAACCTAAGAAAATTAGAAACATTATCTTTAAAAATATTAACAAAATATACAATAAATGGTATAAAAATAATTACTAATTATATAGCTTTCAAGCGGATATATCTAACAATATTAAACTAGACCACAAACTTTGGCCTCCTAAAGTACATGGATTAAAAGATGTTTCATTGAATAAAAAAAGGTCGATAGGAATGTTTGTTTCAACTTACTCAACAACACATGTATATTTTCTTTCATAACTTGTAGGTGTTCACATTTAGTGTTGTAAAACTCAATTCTCTTAAGAAAAAACTAAGTTTAACAATTTTTTAAATTGATTTAAGCAATGAGTCAAATGTAATGAGAAATAATTTTTGTATAAAAACATGATAATCATGACTTTTTATTCTATGTAACTTTCCTTGGTTTTTTTCATATTTTAATGCATTTTCAACATTATACAAGACACTTAAGTCAGGGAAATTTGGGAAGGTAAAAATAGTATACATCAATAATAATAAATAATAATAATTATATACAACTATTCCTAACAAACTAGTTTAAGAAATCATGTATATTAGTATATTAATTGAAAAATGTGAATGTATTCCTTATATTTAATATTAAAAATATATTTAACCAAAATAGTTAATAATATATATATATATATATATATGGCTATTATCTTAGAAGAGAAATAGCATAATACAAAATACAAAGACACTTAATTCAAGTGAATATATGTTAGTTATAATTAAGAGTTAGATAGTGGTTTGTTAACTAAAGTGGATGTTTTCCCACTAAGAGTGGTGGTATTGAAGTTATGCATAAAGAAGAAAAAAATAAAAAAATAAATAAATAAAGGAAGGAAGATGGAAGAGAGGGTACGGTGAGTGAGACAGGCACGGGCAGTGTACTTGGGATTTCTTGAAATGGGCAAAAGGCAGTAAAACACACCATATTGTAAGAAAGGTGGGTTGGGGGTCCAATAACGTCATTATTATTCGATCTTCATTCTGGTGCAGTAGGAAATAGAATTATTATTGTGAGTACTGTGAATTGGATTGGATCAGATCTGTGTATCTTGTCGGAGAGATATGTCACGGGGGAGATCTGATTCGGGAGGGTGGTTGAGGGGGTGTTTGGTGGTGTTCGCGGTCGTCTCAGCGTTGGGTGTATGTGGGCCTGCGCTCTACTGGCGATTCAAGAACGCCATCTCTCTCCGCAATTCACACAACAAACTCTCTTGCCCTCCCTGCCTCTGTAACTGCCCTCCCCCCCTCTCTCTCTTCCAACTCGCTCCTGGTTCGTTCCCTTTTCTTTTCCTTCAGATCATGCAAATCAAAACGTATGTATAATTAATGAATGGATAAAAAGATACCCACCAATTGTTTGCTGATTTGTTTCTTGTGCGTTCACAGGATTGGCCAATCTCACCGTCTCAGGTTACAGTTTTTTCTCTCCTTTTTCCATATTTATACGACTTCTCTTGGTTTGTTTACTCTGGCTTTTATGATCAGATCAGTGAGGGTAATTCTGCTCAGCCAATCCTCTCGTCTTATTGGCAAAAGTTCCTTCTTTTGTTTTTTTGTGGTTTTCACTATCGTATTTTCTGTTCTTTGGAGTTGCATGTTGAATTTTGAAACAATGGTCTGAGATGGAGATCTTACATAGTTGAGTGATATAGGCGTCTGTGGTTAAATTTCTCCGTAATTACTTCTATAAGAGAAAAATGAAATGAAGTTCTCCATAAGTTAAAATTAGCTTATCCATAATCAGCTGTTGTATTTGTTTTTTTACTTTAGAAGTCTATATGGTGAAGTGTGTTCAAACAGGTACTAAATTCAAATTCTGAGAGTGTCTATCATTCAAGCTAAGACAATACTAAAACTGTTAAATGAAGCTAAAATCGCATTTACAATTGTTAAGACCTGAGCTGACTATTAAGAGCATAAATAACTATTAAGACATAACACTTTTAGTTTTGGGTGGGTTTTTCACTTTTTGCACTTGTTTATCCCGCAATATTGCTGGTCCTGCATGCCCACCTGCATCACATATCACATCTGTTATTCAATTAACATCTTCACTTCGTTCGTTGAAGTATCATATCCTTCTTCTATCATGTTTGTTTTATAGCATTTTTTTTATACTAAGCAGTCGCATCTTAGTTGTCACTGGGTTTCTGAAGAATTTTCTGCATTCCTGTACATGTGTTGTATCATACCACAAACTTATACTAAGTTTTTAGGTTCTTAGCTAGACTTTTACAAGTTCAAGTGTGACTCCTTTTCCTTGTTAATTAGTTCTCCTTGTTTAGATAATTAAAGACATACAAGTTATAAAAGTTTAGTGTCTCAAAATTTTTTCCCCTTTTTAAGTCAGTCATCACACTTACAAATTTGTTAAAAATAGTCCTCTTTGTCAGTTTCCTGTTATAACATTCTCATCTTACCAACCTGGTAGGAATTTCTAGCGTGAGCTTGTTTACATATTAGTTCTTATATTGAAAAGGCCAGTTTCACCGTATCATGTGCTCCTTTTTTAATTTGGTAGGTGCTTCTTTTCATATGCTCTGTCCGTCTTGGTAAAATGTCCTATATGGACTTTATTGGCAGTAGAGTAGGTACTATTTTAAAAAATATATGATAGTGGGAGAACTGATTTAAAATAGATATGGTGATTACATTAAAAATGAGCAAAACCTATGCAGTTTTTGGATTAAGATTTTAATTTAATCAAATATATATTTACTGTATATAGTCTTAAAGATGAAATAAGTAGGTGAGGAGGTGCTATTGCTTTGAAAATAGGAAATCTAGATTCGCATTTTGCTCAAATTTCTTATTTGTGATCAGTGTCATGAAATTATAGTATGCCAGCTATTAATCAAGTTCTTGACACTGTCTTACTCAAATTTGTTACTAATTTTGGCTACTGATAACTGCATAGTACATGTGAATAAATTAATTTATGCTGACAAACAGATTGTGGAAGTAATGACCCGGATCTAAAGGAGGAGATGGAGAAGCAGTTTGTGGACCTCCTAAGCGAGGAGTTGAAGCTGCAAGAGTCTGTTACTGAAGCACATACACGACACATGAACATAACTTTGGGTGAAGCAAAAAGAGTGGCATCTCAGTACCAGAGAGAGGCCGACAAATGTATTGCTGCAACTGAAACATGTGAACAGGCAAGAGAACGAGCTGAGGCCATACTCATCAAGGAGAGAAAGATAACTACAGTGTGGGAGCGACGAGCTCGTCAAATGGGTTGGGAAGGAGAATAACTGCATAAGTTTTGTTATTTATATTCTTTATGGCTATAATCATGATTATGGTTTTATACAAGAATGCAAGCAAAATGCTTGATTTGTCCTCCAATTTAGGTTAAAATTAAATGTCCTTACTGTATTCTGTAACTGTATCCCTTATATGCTAGTATCAAGCAAATTTTACCTCAGATATGATTAGTCTGTCACCAACGACTGGATTATATTTATACACTATTTAGCTCTGCTTTCAAATAAATTGCTCACTCTGCCTTTGGTTTTGGGCCATTACCTACATTTTCAAGGACTTGGAGTTTAGATTCTGCAGATTTTACCAATTGAGCGCAGCTTGCTACAAACATATATTTTCAGTGACCATATATTTATTTTATTTAATTACATGTTAAGCTATGTCAAGAAGTGAAAACAGTTAAATTGGTTCTTAAAATTACTTTTAAGAATAATTGAAACAATTGTAGATTTGGTATTGGCGTGAAATATTCTGTTCAATTTTATGAAAAGAAATTTAAAAAAATATAAATAACTTTATTTTCAAGTTAATTTAAATAAATATTAAGGCTATTCAAAAGTTCCTAATAGGTTTTGGAGACATATGCATAGTTTGGTAAATAAAAAAAAAGAGAGAAATGGAATGTAAATGAAAATTATTTGGTTAAAAAAATGAAAAAAATAGTTAAGTTTTTGTGAATAAAAACGTTGGTTGAACAGAGATATGTAAGAAATAGAATAAATAAAAATTATTTGATGAAAAAAATATATTGTTTGTTGATATTAAATTTATTATTACTTATTTTTTATTAATATATTATTATTTAGATATCAATACTATTATTTTTATTAATATTATAATTTATATTGTTAATTTTATTTATTTATATTAAGGTTGATGATATTAACTTAACAATAAAATCATAAAACAAAAATAAAAGGTGGGAGAAGATAGGATTTAGCAAACATTAAACGAATGAAGGAGGGTGATGTAACACATGATCGATCATGCAATTACGCAATTCAAACTCAAATTATTTTATTTGTGCATATTGTAATAATAGCATATGTTTTTCTTCATTTTTATGTTATTTATCTTGATTAAGTTAAATTTATTTTTATGAGAATATAGTATTTTAATGATAGAATTTTTATAAATGATAAGGTTTCTTTTTATATATTTAATGAAAATGTTTAAAATGTACTTTCTAAATTATTTATTGAATTATAATAGTTTATACTAATTTATGTGTATGATAAATTTTTTGATGATTTTTAAATTTTTAGTAGGATTATCATATGGGAGGTATAATCTTCGAGTTCAAATGAACATTAGATAATTAATAAATGAAAATTCTACAAATTATTAAAAATAATAATTGTATCAAGTTATTAACGAGGAATAATAAGACAAAATTTAAGAAATTGTTAAACAACAAGTTTTATAGGATATGATGAAACACCTTACGAATATCTATAGGAAAGTCAACCATTATTGTGTAATGTATTTAGAAGATTTCATCTAACAAATTGATTTTATGATACAATGTTATCCAATAGTTATATTATTTTATTATTGGTATAGCATTGAGTATTTGATCTCTCTGAATAATAATAATAATAATAATAATAATAATAATAATAATAATAATAATAATAATAATTATTTAATATTAAATTTATAAATATCATAAATTTTGAAATTTGTAAGACAAGATTTGTGTATAGTTAATTATCAAATTTACGATTTTTATGATTTTGTAAGAATTGTTACGTGTATTAAAAATTACTAAAATTTTGATAATAATATCTTAATACAAATATTTTGACATAATATTTTCTCGATTTGATCAAATAATCTGATATTGATATATTTTCAATATTATATTAATATGAACATGATACAAAATATTCTAATATTAATATCTTTTCAATATTTCTTTAATGAGATCATATATATATACAAATATTGTGAAAAAAAAATCTCTTATATAATGAGAAGTTATGAAACTTCTCATTATTAAACTTTGCATGAGACAAATATTTATATTACTTCATAAGTTAACAATTATCTACGTCTAAAAACACAAGAAAAAAAATCATAAAATACCCATTCATAACAAATATGACGAGCACAATCGTAACTTTAATATAAAAAATAGTTGAATTAATTGATTTCGATATATTCTCTTATTTTATCTAGTTTTTTATATTTTTTTATTTAAAATAACCAAAATATAAGATTGATATATTACTTTCTGGGATTGACTTATGTGTAACAATTTATCACTTTATCCTCTTGTCTTAAATAATTCCATATATAAAAAAAGCATGATCAATGCTCAAATATAGGGACTTTTTTTTTATTGTAATTCATTCAAACTTTACTTAATACAAACAAGTTGCATACCTTATTTAAGATAAACAACTGACCTATCGGTTGTAAAAAATCAACGTTAAAGGTTTATTTTTATTTTTTTAAAATATTTGTTATTTTGTAACAAATAAAATTTAATAAAAAAATACATAAAAATTGTTATACAAACTATAAAACAATCTCAAATAATAATAAAATAATGTCAAATAATATATAATTTTAAATTTTAAAAATTTATAAATAAATATTTAAATAATAATTACAACAATTAAATGATAGCGAAATCGTAATACACGATTAAATTACAACAAAACATGAGTATCTATAAGGGAGGATAACAAAGAGTGAGTATACAAGAGAGTAAGGATGTGTGGTTCTATAGATGATGCGAGGAAGGATGAGAGAATGTAACGACGTGATAGAGAACATAATGAAAAATGCGAAAACGCGACGGATGACACAATAAAAGATGCAATGGGGGGTCATGAGGACATGATAAAAAGTATAAGGATACAATAGAGACCATGAAGACGTGATGGAGATTGTGAAGACATGGTAAAGAAGATGTAATGGAGGGTGTAATGAACAAGGCAAATGACGCGAATATGTAACAAAGGCCGAGATGGAGACGCAATGGAGGATGGCATGGAGACACGGTAGAGGGTGTAGTGGAGGTTGAGAGTGTGACAGAAGGCGTGATGCAATGTAAAAAGTTACATTCAACATCGATTTATCAAAGAATCGATATTGAATATAACTTTTTATATCGGTTATAATACAACTGATGTTGAATGCGACTTTCAACATTAGTTATAATACAATAAATATAAAAAGTTTGTCCTAAATTATAAATTTGTCACCATCTTTTATTCTACATCGATTCATTTATAATTATTTTTGATGTAATATTAAAATAAATAAGTTATAAATCTTATTTGGAGTAAAAGAGTTATATATCTTACTTTAAATAAACTAATTATATATAAATAAGTTATATCTTATTTGAATAAAATAAATAACATATCTTATTCGAGATAAATAAGTTATACATCTTATTTGATATACCTTACTCCAATAAATATATTATATATAAATTAAACATGTTATATTTTTCACTTGAATTAAATGAATTATACAATATTTTTTTAATATAATCCTAATATAAATATCTCTTTTTTATACAACCTAATAAATTATAAATCGTTACTCACGAATTATCTTATCAACACTACCTTATTATCCTATATTTTATAAAAATATATATTATCAAATATTTAATAAACGACATTATTATATTGTTGTTACTCAAACTTTAAGCTCAATCAAATTTTTTTGATTTATTAACGTCCTCGACTTTCGAATTTTAAATCATAAATATTTTAAATATTTTATAAACCAATTATTATTAACAAATAATAATTTGATTTTCTTCTATTTTATCTCTAACATAACAATAATAACTATAACAAGTAATCTCTAATTATTATTATAGATATAATTTATTCTAAAAATAAAACATATAAAAGTATATATAATAACATCTTTATATTGGGAACTAATAAATTCAAGGAAAACGATTCTTTGACAACCGAAAACAAACAACTGTTAGACAACCGGGGCTAAAAAGAAATTAATTAAAAATAAGGGTTTGATTAGTAAAATTGTATGGGTTCAGATATGTAATATTGTAAAAATGGGGGATGTTATAGAAGAATTGAAGGGCTCGTTCTTCCTGGCTTCCAGGCTCCTGCCTTTCCATGAGTTTGTAGAGCAAAGACGGGGCCAGTGAGTGCCACCTAAAGATCCGAAAGTCAAATTGATACCCAGCTGCGTCACACAAAGGGCATAGACGAGAGCAGAGTAAGCGCCCAAGCAGCCAACAGCATAAAAAGTTTTCACTCCTTTCGTTTGGTTTCCCAGTAGTAGTCCCCGCCAAGAGTGAATAAGAAAGCTCTTGGCGCCTTTGTACGAGCTCATATGAGAAAAAGTAACTCAAGGGTACACTTTTCTCCTTCCAGGATTTGCAGGAGTTTACTTTCGTTTGGTAAAGGTTCAATTGTCGCTGTCACTCAAGCGATTACATAGTCGCTCGAGCGCGAGGCGACCTTAGATAGCGGTTGGCAAAATAACCGCTATAATAAATGTAGTTTAGATAGCGGTTGGGCAAATAACCGCTATCTAAAGTCATATATGTCATAATGTATAGTTCAGATAGCGGTTGACCAATTAACCGCTATCTAAAGTCATATATGTAAAACTGATCGATTATAATTGGGTAATAATCGATCATAATGCATAGTTCAAATAGCGGTTGGCCAAATAACCGCTATCTAAAGTCTATGTCAATCTGATCGATTATAATTGGATAATAATCGATCATAATGTATAGTTCAGATAGCGGTTGGCCAAATAACCGCTATCTAAATGTTAGAAAAAGGGTTTGCTACATATTTACATTGATTTTCGCTTTTCACATTCGCGCTCTTCCTCGCTCGACTTCTTCTCCCTCGACTTAGGGTAAAATTTCTCCATCTCGCTCTTGACGGCGCTCGAGTTCCTGTCGCTTGGCTTCGTCCGTGTCGTTGGAGCTGAACATCACTGTGTGTTGCTTGAGCGACCCTGCGGTGGTGAG